CTCCTGCCGCGTGCCGTGGGTGTGACAACTTCTCCACGTAGGGCTGCAGCTTCGCCGGCTGGGCCTGGTGGGCCAGATTCACGGCGAACGCAGTCCCCTGAGGTTGGTCCAAGCGCCAGTGTTGACTATGGCGCCTATTGGGCAACCTGGTAATCAGATCTGCGCTCGCCATCTGGCGCGGAGAGTCACGTGATGCACTCGTGCCTGCGTCCGACGAAGTCGGCCGCCGCGGGGGCGTCGGCCTGCGTGGCGGCACGTGCAAGTCAAGGTGGGCGTCGTAAGGCGCCGCCGCGTCGACTGCGGACGCGAAGCTGGATGCGCTGCCCGTCGATTGCACATGGTCTGGCCCAGGCGTCCCGGGGCCGGGGGCCGGTCGAGGGGACTGCGTGGTGTCCTGCTGTGGTGGGGCCATCTCCGGCGCGTCCTTGTCTGTTGGGCGGCGCTGCAGGCGTATCGCCCTCTCGCCGTTCTGGAATGCCTCGCGGCAGATGGGGCGCCCCCTATCGTCGCCGGCGAAAGCCGCGACCGATGGGGGGCTCAGCGGGCGCTGCGGCCGGCGCAGGAGGGGGATTAAATTGAGGTTTCTGTCCATGTCTGCGCGGCCAGACGTCGCTGCTCGTCCTGATGCCGTATTGGCTCAATTGTTAGCTGTGTGCTATGGAGCTCGTCGAGATGTCGTCGCTGCGCGTGGTCCAGGGTGGTGCCCGCGTTGTGCTCGGATCGGCCGCCGCTTGCCATCCAAGTCTCGCGGCCGGCGAACCGCGTAACCGCTGTCCCTGGCGGCTGACTCGCGTCGACGGGGCTGTTCTGATCGAACTGGGCCAGCTCCTGGGGAGACTCCAGCACCGGCGGGGCCGTAGCTGCCGGTGCGGACTGAGGTGGCCACGTGGAGCTCGATGCCGAAGGAGTGCTGTTGCTATGGGGTGAGACCGAACGCGCGCGCGCGCCCAGCTCGGCAACTGCGCGTCGGCAGGCGGGGCCAGAAGCAGTCGCGTCCCTGAGGTTGCCCCAATGGAAACGCACCGCCCACTCGTGTTCGACGTGGTTATGTTGGTTGTGGTGGCGTTGGTGATGCCGCTGGAGCGGTTGGCGCTGCCGGTGTGCCCGGTGCCGTCCCCCCCGCTGCTGCCGCGCGGGCCGGCGACGCAGTCGCAGGGCCCGCTGGCTGTGCAGGGGCTTGCGCGCGGCCTGGTGCGTTTGTTAGTTCCTGTCGGAGTCGCGTTGTCTGGCGTCCTGAATGTTAGGCGATGGCGAAGATGGGGGCGATGCTGTGCCCGCCCATTGTAACCGTTGGTGGTGGCCAACTTGCTCCCAAGAGCCTTCTGGCGACGCACTTGGAGTGGCTGCTGGTGCTGCTGGCCGCGGTGCTGGTGCTGCCTGACTGGCGCCCGCTGCCCGCCGCTCCAGGATTCGGCGCCCTGCGTGGGGTCGCCTTCCCTGGTGCCCGCGACCGCGGGCCGCGGAGTCCTGGAAGTGTCCGCAGTCGTCCGCGCTGAGTATGCTCCTGGGATGGGTTGCTGCTCGGGCGGTCCTGGCGGCCCCTGCTGTCCTAGGAGCGCAAGTGGTCAGGGCGTTGGTGGTGGTGATGGTGCTGGGGCATAGGCGTCGAGGAAGAGAGCGCCCTCGGTTGCGGCGCCAGGGGCGGTCGCGAACGAGGCGCCCTTCAGAGTCGCATTCGCTGCGTTGGAGACGCACCCCGCCAGGTTTCATGGGTTGCCTTGGCGGCCTGAACCCATGCCGCTGGTCCCGAACTTCCCCTTGTCTCACTTTTGGGTCTTCCCGAAGCCTGCGAAAGCGTCCCAGAAGTCGTTTTCGGACAGGTCGGCGGAGAAGGCGCGGTGGCCCTTGCCTTGGCCCTTGCCCTGCCGCTCGAAGACCGTCGGGGCGCGACGCGAGGGTTTCCCGGTGTGCGCTGGCGTGCTTAGGCGCGCTGGTGAGCCCAGAAAAAAAACGCGCTCCACGTCTTTTCGCCAGAATGTCGCGTAGCTCGGGATCGTTTGCGGCAGTCTCTTCGCCGAGCGATCTGATGGCGTCGGTGTCGGTGTCTGCGTCGACGCCTGCTGCTGGGAATTCCCTCTGTGCTGGTGGCGCCGTGCTGGTGTCGTCGGCGGTTGCTTGTGCAAATGGGCTCGGTGCCGCTCCCAGTGCGCCCGGGCCCGTGCCGTCCCAGTTCGATCTTGCCACAGTGCCGCAGGCGCCGTGGGCCTGATCTCGCGTGGGCGCGCCCGCGAGGAGGTTGCGCCGCTGGACGGAGTGGGCCACCGATGTGAGGTTACCGGGCGTTCCCTCGATCATGTGTCCAAAGCGTCGCAGCTGGCGCGTCATCTGCATGGGCTGTGCCGCGTTTGTAGCGTTGGCCATGTTGTAGTGCTGCGTGATGATGGTCAGCTGGAAGTTCGACGCCCCGTCGGCGCGTGGCAGGAGGGGGCTGAGATATTCGTGGCCGATCATGAGTTGACCGGCTTGCTGCGCACGGTTGCGTGGGATGTCGAGTATCGTTCGGAGATTGTCGATGCGCTCTTGCGGCAGTCTGTTGAAGATGATGAGTGCTGATGCTGCCGGAGTGCTCCCGTCCTCGCCCTGTTGGCCCCGCAGTTCGGCCAACCTGTGCGTTGGGAAGGTCATCGTTGACACTGGGTTGCAGTTGATGAGCTTTCCTTGGATCAAGGCCGCAGGCGGCCATTTGTCTGCGTTCCCGCGAGCCATGCCGGTGGGGCGTGACGAGACGTAGGCCGCCTGGCGAAACTCGTTGAGATCCTAGTTGCCACTGACCAGATCATTACCTCGAGCACCAATTTCTAGAAAGGCACTCGAGATTGCTGCTCGGGCCACCAGTTCCGGAGGTAACGTATGTTGCCGCTGCTGCCGCCTGCGTCCATGAAAGAGAGGTAGATGTTGATAGCAAGCATGCCGACTCCGATAGCCTTCTATCCAGAACGGGGTTCCCTCCATGTCTCAAGGAGGTGTTGGGGGCCGGGAACCCACTGGCAGCGTTGCTCTGGCGAGGAGCCTCTGAACCGCCGCGGATATTTGCCCCGGATGTGTTCTTCCTCGTCTGAGTATTGGGCGTAAGCTTCCGTCACGTGGCTGTGCTGCTCCCGGTACTCGGAGCATCTAGCGACGCACTCATGGGAATGCTCCTCGTACGTCGTATTGTCACTGTACTGAACACCACCGACTGCGCGATCGTCAAGAGGAATATGAATCGGGATCCAGTCTGACCAGATTGCAGGGAGTGTGTGGGTAAGGCGATCTGTCGTGTTCCAAGAGATCGAAAAATGATTGTCCTAGGTCCATTTTGCGGTCCTTCGGAGTGACGACACACCCGCCAAGTCCTCCACTGAGTCCCCGCTCTTCTCTGTTTGCTTCTCCCATGGCTCTCATGACACAAGCATGAGTAGCTCGGGACCCTTTGTCGACGCCATTGACGTGAACGCTGAATCAAGTAACTGTCCATTAGTGACGGCCACACCCACAATTGTGGTTATTCCCTCGGACGGGTGTACCGCAGACGCTGACTCCGCGAGCTGCGCTGACACAGTCAAAGCGGGCCCGGGAGAAGGAGCAAAGAGAGCCAGCGCATGGCTGGTGTCCTGGATGTCCTCGAAGGCTTTGTTCTCGTATTTGTAGATGTCCGGGTTGTGCATGTTCCCCTCCGCAACTCCTGAAGGCGGAAATGCGAGTGCCCAGGAGGTGGTCAAGTAGTGGTGCACGAACACGGTGAACACGGTGGCTGCCTGATCGCAGCCTTGAGCAGGCTGGAGTGATCGAGCCATGGCGGTCGACGCGGGGCGAGGGCGACAAGCAGTTGCGGCCGTGGACAGGAACCGATACGTCGCTACCATCTAGATAAAAAAGGATGTACGAGGTGATGTGGCACAACAATAATGCTTCTTTTACCGAACGAGGGTGTAGGAAGTAACGCAACAGTATAGCACGGGCACGGATGGAAACTTCCTTGGGTCAAATGCCCATGGAAGACCCGCGGCAGGCCAGGTAAGGCAGCAGGGGGGGCAACGAGGGACTACCATTCGAGTCTAGGGGAATCGAATGGAATACCTAGGACAAGGAGGAGAGGAACGATGACAGCAGGAGGCAAACCAAAAGAAGGAAACGGGGAAGGGAGGAACATGTCGGAGGATTAGGAAACAATGAACAACCAATGAAGAACAGCGACGTCGTGCAACCTCCTCCACCAACAGGTTCGTCAAATCTGAAAACGACGTGGGAATGCGCCAATTGACACGCAGTGCGTGACTGCAACTATCGACCAAACACCGACTGCGAATCTTTCTGCGCCTCCCCAGAATGCTTCTAAAATTGTGTGGCGTCCGTGAAGCATGACTGCGAGCTGCTGCGCACAGGGGGAATCAGCAGCAGCTCTGGGAAATGATGTCTGGGGCGCTCACGGGCATGGGGATGGGCTGGACTGGGACGCAACCCGCCAAACATAGCCCCTCAAGAACTGCCACTCCCCAGACCCCTCCCGGGGTGCGTTCTGTCCAAGATTGCGATGCGCATCCAACCGTGGCGACCAGGTCCTCCGAGGAGGCCCCAAACAGGACGGACGAGGCACGGGTAGCGGTATCGGAACCTGTTCCCAGGCGAACGAAGGACGACATAAAGATGAAGTCTCGGAGGTCCGCGCGGCGGACTTCTCGGATCGGCGCTGGCGCCAGGGGGGCCCCAGCGCGGGTCCGAGAAATCCGCGCGGACCTTCGAGACTTCGTGCTTATGCCATTCTTCGTTCCCCTGTGTTCCTCCTCTGGCAAGCTCCGGTCGCTGGCCAAAGGGTCTCGTCCCCCCCTCTGACTACCTACCAGACCACCCCAACCCAACCCGAAGACCCGAGTTTGACCCGAATTTCGGGTTGGGGGGGGTATGGGCTCCATGTATTTTTTCGATGTTCCCCGACCCTCCCCCCACTGGAAATCGGGGGCAAATTGGGGCCTTCGGGTTGGGTTGGGGTGGTTTGGTGGGTGGTGACCCTCGTGCGGCGGCCTTCCACCGGCGTGCTCGGCACGGGCGAGCCCGGCCACGTGCGCCCGCGGAGGTCCGACGTCTCGGCCCAGGAGGGCTCGGAGAAGCCACGCTGGCTGCCGAATGGCGTGAACGCCTGGGGCGCGCCAGCACCGCGCCCGAAGTGGGAAGGGGATGGGGAGAACGGAGCAAAGAATCGACGAATCGACGAACACAAATCGACGAATCGAAGAATCGACGAATCGAATAGAGCAGAGGGGCAGGAACGGTCAGCACCGTTTCGACGAGTCGGATCGGATCGGGACGTGCGTCGGATCCGAGTCGGATTGAACCGACCGGAACCGATACCAAATCGGATCGATCGGGCCAGAATGGGCCGTGACGAGTGGCAGGAGCGGTCATCACCAAATCGACGGATCGGATCGGATCGTGAATCGGATCAGGGCCGCATCGACACGGAGGCGGAATCGAGCCGAGTCGGCCGCGCCAGGATGCACAACAGCCACATGGACGCATCGGGCAGCACCGGATCGTCCGAGCACCTGAACCGAGTCGCACCGGGTCGGCTGGAACTGATACATGGTCGGATCGCTGACGTGGGGGACGACAGGATATCTGCTCCCAGCTACGACTGCGCGAGCCCAAAGTCAGCATGCTTCCTGGGCGTCCCGCGGCCCCCCCGCCCCCGGTTCGGCCGAACATGTGGGGTCGAAGCGGCAGCGCTTTCGGACAGCCCGCGGCGGGGCGCGGCGGTGGCTCCAAAGATAGCAGACAAGTCTGCCCAGATCATCAACTTGGCTCCGACCTCGGCCAGTATGATCTCAGAGGCGCTCCAGGCGTTTTCTTGGCCACCTAACTTCGCGCCCTCGCGCCCCCCTGGAGAAGGCCAGCTCAGCGGCCCCAGCCGCGATACACGAAGCGCGGCTATCTTCGCGCCTTAGAGCGACCTATGCTTTCAAGATGGTCAGGGGTGCCCTCCAGAACTGCACCCCCAGGGTGACAGGGACAGGACGAAGTGCTTTCTTGATTGCCTCCTGCAGGCGGCGCAGCTCGGTGCGCATCTCTTCAATGAGGCAGCTCTGTCATGCCGTCCTGATCCAATGAAAACGATACATTTTGTTTTGAGGATACGGCCGACTGGCATGCTTCATGGCCATGTTGCAGAACTCAATCTTGTTAGCTGAACAAACGCATACGCGGAATTGCAAACCGTGCCGCAGATTGGTGCAAAAGTCAATAAGGCAGTCTGGCTGGCACCGAAACGAAACCAATTAACTTCCGCCATCACCAGGAAGACGTTAATTGAGTTCCTTGCGGCTTGGCGCATGACGATATCTCTTGCAATATCTGTTGGCTTGCACAGAGAAGTCTTGGCAAAGGAACTCTTCGCGCAACGATAAGCACTTCTTGCTGAAAACGCTCGAGAGCGCTGTTCTCGTTGTGGAAGTTTCCTGGAACACACACCCAACAAAACAATAGAACTATACATGGACGATCGCGCCTTAGCACTGCGCCCGGGGCATTTCGAAAAACTGCCGAACGGCCAGATTTCAGGCCGCGGATGAGTTTCTCGAAATTGCGCCCGCCCCTCGCCCCCCATCGTTCGAGAAACGTCCAAACGGCCCGATTTCAGGCCCGGGAGGAGTTTCTCGACATTGCGCCCGCCCCTCTCCCCCCCCCAGTGGGGAATTTCGAGGAACTGCCAAGCGGCCAGATGTCAGGCCACGGAAGAGTTTCTCGAAATTGCGCCCGCCCCTCGCCCCCCAGCGAAGGATTTCGATAAACCCCAAAGCGGCCACATTTCAGGCCGCGGAAGAGTTTCCCGAAATTGCGCCCGCACCTCGCCCCCCAGCGGGGAATTTCGAGTGACTCCCAAAGTGGCCAGATTTCAGGCCGCGGATGAGTTTCTCGAAATTGCGGCCCCTACCCTGGCGCGGAATTTCGCCGAGCGTTCACTCGCCAGTCCTCAGCGGTGCGGTCCCTCAAGATTGCGCTCGCCCCCGGCGCCCCCAGCGGTGAATTTCGAGAAACTCCCGAGTGGCCAGATTTCAGGCCGCGGAGGAGTTTCTCGAGATTGCGGTCGCCCCCGCCCCCCATCGGGGAGTGTCGAGCCGCGGGGGAGCTTCTCGAAATTACGCCCGCCCCTCGCCCCCCAGCGGTGGATTTCGAGAAAGTCCAAGCTTTCAGGCCGCGGGCGAGTTTCTCGAGATTGCGGCCCAAGAGCGTTTAATCGCCAGTCCTTGGAGGTGCAGTTCCTCGAGATTGTACTCGCCCCTGCCCACCTCCAGCGGGGAATTTCGAAAAACTACCACGCGGCCAGATTTCAGGCCGCGGAGGAGTTTCTCGAGATTGCGCTCGCCCCCGCCTCCCAGCGGCGGTGAATTTCGAGAAGCCCCCAATCGGCCAGATTTCAAGCCGCGGGAGAATTTCTCGAAATTGCGCCCGCCCTTGCCCCCCAGCGGGGGATTCCGAGAACCTCCGTTCAGCCAGATTTCTAACAGCGGAAGAGTTTCTCGACATTGCGGCCCCCTGCCCTGGCGCGGAATTTCAAGGGGCGTGTGATCGCCAGTCCTTAGCGGGGCAACTTCCCGAGATTGCCCTCGCTCCTGCCCCCCCCCCAGCGGGGGACTTCGAGAAACTCGTGAACGGCCAGATTTCAGGTCGCGGCGGAATTTCTCGACCTTGCGCTCGCCCCTCGCCCCCCTCGGCGAAGAATTTGGAACAACTCCGTGCGGCCAGGTTTCAGGCCCCGGAGGAATGGTTCAAAATTGCGCCCGCTCCTCGCCCCCCGGCGGGGAATTTCGGAAACCCCCCAAGCGGCCGCTTATGATGGATTAGTTGTATATGATAATTTTAAATTTTTATTAAATAAATTTTTTTTAATTTAACATTTTTTTTATATATTTTTAATAATTTTTTCATTTTATTTTTTTTTTTTTAAAAATAATTCTTTTTATTTATTTGTGAGAATTGTGTGTTTTTTAAGTTTTTATTTTTTTTTTTCTAGGCCGCGGAGGAGTTTCTTGACATTGCGCCCGCCCCTGGCCCCCACAGTGGGGAATGTCGACAAAACTCCCACACGGCCAGCTTTCATGCCGCGGAGGAATTTCTCGCAATTGCGCCCCCCTACCCTGGCGTGGAATTTCGAGGAGCGTTCAATCGCCAGTAATTAGCGGGGCAATTCCTTGAGATTGCGCCCGCACCGCAGCCCCCCCCCCACGGGCTGGGGATTTCGAGAAACTCCCAGGCGGCCAGATTTCAGGCCGCGGAGGAGTTTCTCGAAATTTGCGCCCGCTTCGGCCCAGCGAGGAATTTCGAGAAACTCGCAAACACCTCGCTCCCCGCAGATTTCAGGACCGCGGAGAAGTTTTCTCGAGATTGCCTCGCGCCCTCTGCCACCCCCCCCCCCCCCCCGGCGGTGAATTTCGAGAAACTCCCGCGTGGCCAGCTTTCAGGCCGCGGAGGAATTTGTCGCAATTGCGGCCCCCGTAACCTGACGCGGAATTTCGAGGAGCGTTCAGTCGCCAGTCCTCAGAGGGGCAGTTCTTCGAGATTGCGCTCGCCCCCTGCCCTCCAGCGGGGAATCCCGAGAAACTCCCGAGCGGCCAGATGTCAGGCCGCGGTGGGGTTTCTCGAAATTGCGCCCGCCCCTCGCCCCCCAGCGGGAACGTTTATAAACTCCCGAGCGGCCGGATTTCGAGCCGCGGAGGAGCTTCTCGAAATTGCGCCCCCCTACCCTGGCGCGGAATTTCGAGGAGCGTTGAATCGCCAGCCCCTGGCGGGGCCGTTCTTCGAGAGTGCGCTCGCGCCCAGCCGCCCGCGGGGAATGCAGAGAAACCTCCGTGGGACCAGATTTCAAACCGCGGGGGGTTCCCCGAAATTGTGCCCGCCACTCGCCCCCCAGTGGGGAATCCCGAGAAACTCTCGGGCGGGCAGATTTCAGGCCGCGGAAGAGTTTCTCGAGATTGCGGCCCCCTACCTTGGCGCGGAATTTCGATGAGCGTCTAATCGCCAGTCCTTAGCAAGGCAATTCTTCAAGATTGCGCTCGCCCTCCGCCGCCCAGCGGGGAATTTCGAGAAACCCCAAAGCAGCCAGATTCTCGGACGCAGAGGAGTTTCTCGAAATTGCGCATGCCCCTCGCCCCCCCCCCAGCGGGGAATTTCGATGAACTCCCAAACGGCCAGATTTCAGGCCGCGGAGGAGTTTCTTGAAATTGCGGCCCCCTACCCTGGCGCGGAATCTCGAAGAGCGCGTCATCGCCAGTACTTTGCGGGGCCGTTCTTCGAGATTGCGCTTGCCCCCCGCTCCCCAGCGGATAATTTCGAGAAGCTCCCTGCCCTGGCGCACCCATGTTGTTTCATGGGCCGTGTTGTTTCATGGGCCGTGAAAAGGGGGCCCATGAAACAACACGGCAACACCCCCCCAATACGCAGAATGCACCCATACACCACTACCGTACCTGGCCACGGCTATCCTGGACGCTGGCATGGTGTCTACGCCCTCCTGGCCGATGCCAGGAGCCTCCATCCTGGGGCCCAGGATGGCCCTGGCCAGGCATGGTGGCGGCGTTAGTCGAGGTGTAACCTAGCCCTCGCATTTGCTCACACTGTGTTCACCATCGATCATCAGACTCTTCCCCAAGTCCGCTTTGGCCGGTTTTTCGAGCTGCGGTCCGAAGTGGCCACGAGGGATGCCAACGAGGCCCAAGCAGGCTCGAGCCTCGATCCTCGACCCTTGGTGTAGATGCCCCCCACAGACTTCATGACCTCCGCCCACACACATCTGGCCGCTCCAACTTTTCGATGCGTGGGCCCTTAAAGTCTGGACCACCTCCCTGGGACCGGTTTTTCGCCCCGCGTCGTCCCCGAGTCTCAGGCGAGGGCTCTCGGACGCCGAGACTGGCCCAAAAACTGGCCGCTCCAATTTTTTCGGGGCGTCGGATCTCCAGAGATCCGACGTCGTGATTTTTTCATGACGTCGACCCCCAGAGGTCTCGCCCCATTCCCCAGGACCACTTTTTCCTCCTGAGTCGCTTCTTGACAGTCCTGGGGCCCGGCGAGGGCCCCTAGAGGCCGAAGAAATGGAGAAACTTCCGTCTTGTTTTTTCAATGCAGTAGGGGCCGGACCACAAAAAACCTTCCACAAGAAACCCAACCCTGAGACCCCAGGACGTCCATTGATTTTAGGTGCGCGAGCGTCACGCCTTCCACAGCAAAACATTCGAAACCCAAGAAACCCAGGGCACCCTGGAGACGAGTAGGGTGTTTCTTGGCATGGGTCTCCACTGTATGTTGGATCTCTGGGTCTCTGGCCCCGAGCTCCAGGAAGCCCGCTGCAGAGCGCCGGGCGCCTCTGCCGCCGCGGCCGGCCGCGGAACACCGCCAGGAACGAGCGGAGCCGCGCACTCGGGGCGCCCGGGGGGCAGCGGCAGAGGCGGCTGGGCGCCTGCCGCACGGGGAGGGCCGGCGCGGGCCGCCAACGCCCGCGCCTGCCACCAGCCCAGACACCCTCGAGCCACGAAAAGATCACGAGGGGAGGTTTTCCCCTATTTTCGGCCGCTGGGGGCCCCTACTGGACTCGGGACCGTCAAAACGGCTCAGGATGGAAAACCTGGGGAGTGGGTCGAGACCTTTGAGGGTCGACGTCATGAACAAATCATGACGTCGGGGTCTGGGAACAACCGCGCTCGCCACACGCGGCCCGCTCGGGAAGCCATGGGCGCAAACATGTTGCCATCTGTGGCGCGTGTGTGGCAGTCCATCGACGTGTGATTTGTTCCTCGGGGCGGGCAAGCGAGGCAAACAACGGCAAAAAGAGCGCCGTGCTGCAAAACCAGATCCGGCTCGTATGTCGACAGCCCGCTCCAGGCAACCTTTGGGCTTGGGAATTGGTGCCCGTCAGAATCACAGACCTGGTGCAAGCCTGCAGAGGCCACTGGTCATCCTGGCTGGGGATTGCCTTCTCAATCGAGATCGTGATCGCGGTGCTATTTTTTCCCGACCTCAAGCCTCTCAGTGCAAAAAAGAATAAAAACAGTAAAAAACATATTACAATATTAATCAATAAAAATAAAAGACTAAGAAAAAAAAAAAAAAAAAATATAAAATCAGTAAAAGATAAAAAGAGACATAGCAATAAATAAAAAAAAAAAAAAGGCGTCAAAATAAATAAAAAGTAAAAAAAAAAAAAAAAAAAAGAAAGTACCTAACAAAAAACCCCAAACTACCCAAACAACACTATCCCACCCCACCCCACCTCTCCCCCAGCACCGCGTCTCCGCCCACCAACTCAACCCAGACCACCCCACCCCCCTGACCCCTCCCTCACCCGTACCCACTCATCCAATCCTGAATCTTCCCCACATCCACACCGCCCCACTGCCGCCTCTCATTCTAATTCCCCCAACCTACCCCTTCACCGAACCGCCTCATCAACCTGCCCCCCAAGAGCATACTCCCCAGATCCAATCATTCGGACCACAACTTGCTTGTTGTTTGCACCGTTCAGCAAGCATACTAACCTCTGTGGTCACCTCCTACGCTACCTCCTACACTATCCTGGTCTGTCTCTCCGCGCCCCGTAATTTCAATGTTCACTCGGTGCGCTGCGCGATCAGATTTTTCCGCCGTCAGCCGTGGTTAACGCAACCTGGAGATCGGGGGTCTGGGGGGGTGAGGGGGTGAGGGGGCAATTGGGACAATGGTTGCGTGACTTTCCAAATGGGGCGCACGTCCTACCATGGGTCACCGTGCCTCTTGCCGAGTTCTGCCCCTGTGGCGGAAGAGTGCCAAACAACAGACGTGCATACGCTCGACATATTGACTGCCAGAATCGTGGCCGCGGCTTCCCCTCCCAAGAGACTGCCTGCAGCGGCGTAGTACTCGGCACGCGTAATCACGCCATCACCGTTGACGTCCATGCGGTTGAAGGCGGCCTCTGCCTCGAAGAGGATGTCTCCTTGTGCACCTCGCGCCGCGGACACGCTCTTCACAGCTGAGGCCGCTACGCTGTCTGCTATAGCAGAGGGTTTTCAGAGGTGGGAGTGACATAGCTACGGTAAGCTCCAGGAGGTACCAGCGAGGTAAGGCCCCGGAGTGGTCCTGAGATGCCCAGTGAACCATGGTGGGATGGCTATTTCACAACTTCGAAGTTGTAGTGGGGCAGCCAGGATGTGTGAAACTACTTTAGGGTACCTCTGATGCTCATGAATATCAAGTGCGCGGCCACCGTGAATAAGCGTGCGAGCATGTGTCAACTGCGCGGCACCTGGAGGATACCCGACGGGTGCGCCCGAGGGAGCTGGTGGAGAGTGGCTTTATAGCCAAGAACCTGCCATGAATAACGTCTTTCTTTTTCCTTCTGGGGGACGTTGCGGGCAAATCGTGCCAGGCCGCCGTGGGACTACCGACGCAGCCAGGAGCTGTCCAGTGGACGGGCGCCAGGGGTGGCGCCCACGGCGCTCTGCCTCTGGACCCGGCTCGAGCTGGAGGGGCGCTTGTGCACGAACTAAAATGGAGGCGGGCCGCCGTGGGGATCCGTGGCGGTCGAGGCGTTGACCCAGGGAGCCCTAAATAAGGAACGAGGCCCCTATTTTCCATAAGCTGAACTTCGATTTCCGATCGAAATCATAGGAAAACCTGAGGCAAGCTGTGAAACACTTGAGGAACACGGAGCCCCTCCCCGACGAAAAGGGTTCCTTCTTCAGGGTCCCGACTGTACCAGGCGGCCAGAAGCCTTTGGCCGCACTGAGTTGGAGTAACATTGGCGCCCGGGAACCTTTGGCGGCCAGGGCCCTTTGGCCCTGGCGGCAGAATGCCCCAAGCACAACAGATAACATGAAGACATATTTTTGCCTGCGCTCCACATGCGGGAGACCACGAGCCACCGCTTCCCGATCTGGAGGACATCGCACCCGGCCTCAAGTAAGCATTCCGAAGGACCCTTGCAGGCGAGCTGCTCAGAAGCAGCAGGGCTGCCTTTCTGGGCCTCTGCTGGCCGCCGTCCTGACCAACTCGTCGAGCCCAGTCCAGCCGCGGCGGCGTGCGGCGGTTCGAGAGAGGAGCTCAGACATACCTTCTGCATCAGCGGGCCGCTGGGACACCCAATCGGCCGGCCAACTGGCATCCTCTGACGCGAGCTCGCGCTCGAGAGGCGGAAACGGCACACTGAAGCTCCTGCCGAGCGAACTGCGCCGCAGCCGATGCCTCAGTCAAGCTCAGGCGGGAACCAATCGAAGCATACCTTTACGTCGGCAGCCACGCGCGCAGCAGCGCGGCGGTGACAGCAGGCGCGAACCAGAAGCACGCAGAACACAGGGGAAGGACGGACCAGGAGAGGCGGCGGCCAGGGCGGCAAGAGCGAACGCAAGAACTGGTTCGAGGGAAAGCATCGGCTGGACGCAAGAGTGACCCTGGGTAAGAGTGACCTTTGGTGCGTGGCTTTTGAGGAGCGCAAGGTGGCCAAATCCAAGCGCGCAAGCAGCCTCTATCGCATCGCGCTCAACGATCGGGGGGCCCCAGTGAGCCCGCACCAAAGGCCACTCCTGCGAAGGGTCACTCTCGCGTGTAGTCGACAGCAGAGGCATGGCCAGGACGTGGAGGGGGCGGGTGAGGGGCAGGGCACGCGGAGGGACCGGGCGAGGACGGGGCAGGGGGTCGGAAGCAGGACAGGGCCGCAGAGGGGCAGGGCGGTGGAGGGGAAGCCCGGGGCGGCAGAGACGAGGCGCAGGGCGCGGGGCGCGGGGCAGGAAGGACGATGGAGAGGCGGACGATGATAGGGGAACGAAGAATAACGTAAACATAAAGACTCGGAGGTCCGCGCGGATTTCTCGGATCGGCGCTGGACCCCCCCCTCCCTGGCGCGCGGAGCGCGCCAGGAGCGGCGCCGGAGCGCCGCCAAGGGGGTCCAGCGCGGATCCGAGAAGTCCGCGCGGACCTCCGAGCTTTGATGCTTATGTCATTCCTCGTTCCCCTAGATGGGGACAGGATGCCGCTGACGCCTCATGCCTGCGTGCGCCTGCGGCTTGCCCCCATGGGAAACAGAGACGAGGACAGAGGGCGGGCAGCTCAACTAAAGCACGCGCACCTCCGCGCACGCCGGCGGAGGGCGCCGCGAGGCCGCCTCCGCCCGCCAGCGGCGCCGGCGCCTCCAGCGGCGCCTCCGGCGCCTGGGCGCCGCCGCGCGGGGTCAGCGACGGCCTGCCGCGCGGGCGCTGCGCCGGCGGCGGGTGGGGCCGCAGGGGCGCGGCGGCCTGGGCGGGCCGGAGCTCGCGCGGGGGCTTTTCCGCCTCCGCCTCGTCGAGCTCCTCCTCATCCCGTGGTCTGCATTCGTCTTCAGCGCCGTGCGCACCCCTAGGCCTGCCCAGGCCGCAAGGGCGCGGCGGCCGGGGCGGGCCGGAGCTCGCAGGGGGGGGCAGCTCAGGGGGGCCTACCGTACCATCTTGTTAGCTCTTGCGAATCGCCGCTAGTCGACGCTGAATCGACGAATCAACATCTACCGACGCTAAATCGGCGTTCTCTTATCGATTACAAAACGCTGGCGCGCGCTGAGGCACTCTTAGCACGGAATTGCGAGGACACACGAGGCTTCCATTATTTGCTACCGAGCCCGCCTCCTTCTCTTTGAGCTTCGAGCTGCGGACCTTGAGTTAGTTCTCCGACGAGCTGTGGCCCTCGAGCCCCTCCCACCCTGAAGCGCTGGGGGGGGGGCAAACAAAAAAAGCCAAGAGGTGAAGAGAGGAAGAAGGGAACGACCGAGCCGAGCGGCGGACACGACCCCAGCGAGGGGCGGAACCTCAAGGGGTGGTAGGGGGGGGGGGAAGACTGTCTGTGGCGGCTGGCGTGCGCGTGCGAACTGGCACCGGGGGTCAGCAGCCCCAGCCCCCTGGGGGGGGCCCCAGCCCCCCGGGGGGGGGTAGCTGCGACGGGCTACACGCACGAGTGACCCTGGGTAAGAGTGACCTTTGGTGCGCGGCTGGTTTAGAGAGTAGACGACCCAAACCCCATAATGATCACCCCGACACGTGAAGCCGTTTAGCAAACGCACCTACAGAAGGAATCGAACAGGGCAGGGTTGTTTCATAAACGCCCAGGGCCGTTTAGTAAATCCAAGTGTCGAGTCCGGGTGGTTTTTCCTCCCGGGACTTTTTGGAAGCCACGGTGGGGGCCAAGCACATGCGCGCAGAAGACGCTGCTGCCGCATCGCGTGCGGCAGTCGGGGGGCCCCAGCGGGCCCGCACCGAAGGGCACTCTGGCGAAGGGTCGCTCTTGCCTGCAGTCTTAGGTCGGGCATGTCCCCCTACAGGCGGACCCTGGACGAAGCATAAAACACACAGGCTGAAACATGCGCAGACATGGTCAAACAGTCGTCCCCAGACTATTTTTGGACTCTTTTTGGAAACTCCCCCCCGTAGAGGGACAGGCCCGACTTGACTGTAGTCGGCCCTTGATCCCTTCGCGCCGCGGGGCAGGCCCGTGGCCCCACTGTCCATCGCTCGGGCGTCCCTTCCCGTTGCGTCGTGTGGTGTCGTGAGTTTTTTGTTATTGTTGTTGTTTTTTTTTTTTTTTGTGTGTTGTTGTTGTTGTTGGTGTTGAACTTTCATTCATGAAGCAAATATTGATCATCCCCCCTCACCGGTGCATGCTGTTTTTCTCAATCGAAGTGTGCCCCTCGACGCTCGCAACCTGTTTTTTGACAGGGAAAGTCTTGGTGTTCAAACTGGGCCCCTGGCCCCCTGGATTACAACAACAACGGCTCCCGCCTGAGACTTCCTCCGAATTTACTCCAGATCCCCGCTCCTGAGACCTCCTCACAATTTACTCGGGATCGGTGCTCCCGCTTGTGACTTCCTCGCAATTTAGTCAGGACCCCCGCTCCCATCTGAGACTTCCTCATAATTTACTCAGGGACGGCGCTCCCGCTTGAGACTTCCTCGCAATTGAATAAAGACTTCTTCGCAATTTAATCAAGACCCCCGCCCCCGCCAGAGAACCCTTCACATTGTATTCAGGAATTGCGCTCTCGCTTTTGACTTCCATGCAATTTATTCAGAAAATGCGCTTTCGACGCTCAGGAAACACGCTGCGCCAAGGACGCCGTTACAATTTATTTAGTAATCGCGCTCTCGCCATACTCAGGCATCCCGCTTGAATGTCTCACCTGCCCGACCCGCCAGTCAGGGGATCGCCCGCCCGTCGTGGGCTCCCGCCCGAGACTGCCTTCACGCTCTTACCTTCCTGCTCCTCCTCCCTCTCCCTCCTCGCTCTCCCTCCTCTCCTCCCTTCTCTCTCCCTCCTCTCTTCCCTCATCCTCCTGACTCTCTGCCCTATCCCCTCTCCCTCCTCTCCCTCCTCCCTTCTCCCTACCCTCTCCTGCCTCCTTTCTCCCTCTTTCTTTATTTCTTTCTTTTTTTCGTTCTTTCTCTCTCTCTCTCTCTCACCGCTCTCTCTCTCTCTCTCTCTCTCTCTTTTGCTCTACCTCTCGTTTTTTTTTTTTTTTTTTTTTTTTTTTTTTTTTTGTTTTTTGCCCCCCGCTTCGCTCCTTCTCTCCTGGCGTTTTCCCTCTTCCTTCGTCCCTCCCCCTCCCTTCCTCCCACTCTTCCTCGTTCTTCCCCTCCTCTTTTTGCAGGGCCCACACCAATTCCAATGGCGGGCACATGTACGCCCACGAAGGATTGTCCGCCCGTTCAGGTTTGCCCGCCTGTCTAAGCCCGCGCCCCCCGCAAAGAGAAATTATTCCCCCCAAAGGGGGTGTGATCGAAGACAAAAAGGGCGGGTATCGAGGGTGTGGGGAACTCGTTTTGAATGACACGCGGGCAGGTAAGAGCGAACAGTCTTAGATTATTTTTGTTTGTTTGTTTGTATTCCCCCCCCCGCCCCACCCTGAGATCCTGGCGTTGCAATTTTTTCACACCGGGCAACTTTGCCCCGCTTCGGCCCCAGTATCCTCGCGGATCGACCCTCCCCGAAGAGAGTGCAGCAGCAAGGCGGCGTCGAGACCGCCCATCGAGTGTCCGATGCTGCAATTTTTGCGATCTGCTCCCCTGACGTCCTCTCTCGTTGCGGAGAGAAATCGCGACGGTCTTTTCGTGCTGGCTTTCGGCCTCCGGGTGTCCTTGCCGCGCCCTAGGGGCCATCAAAAAACCACTCCCGTCGAGTTTCCGATGGTGCAATTTGCGATTTGCTCCCCTGACGTCCTCTCGTGACGGAGCCATCGCGACGGTCTTTTTTTGTGCTGGCTTTCGGCCTCCAGGTGTCCTTGCCGCGCCCCGGGGGCCAACAAAAAACGACTCGGGACAGCCAGCCGGTCCCGGGGAAGCGCAGATCCCCCTTCTCCTCCTCCTCCTCCTCCTTTTCCTTCTCCTCCTCCTCCTCCTTTTCCTCCTCCTCTACCTCCTCCTCCTCCTCCTCCTCCTCTTCCTCCTCCTCCCCCCCCCCTCCTCCTCTTCCTCCTCTTCCCCCTCCTCTTCCTCCTCTTCCTCCTCCTCTGAGGAGCCACGCTGCGCCCAAAAAGTCACGACGTTGGATGCCGGGGCCCGCCCTCTCCGACCGGCCACACACACCTGGGAGCTGTGTTCCCTACCCCCCCCGGGGGAGCCCATCCTATCGGCGATCTCTCGGGAGGGGTTGTCGAAGCTGACGGGTTCCCCAGTGGGGTCAAAGCAGGACTCGATCAAAAGATCTTAAGCAGTGCTTTTCGTCCTCGTCTTCCCTCGCCTTGTCTTCAGTCCGCCTCTCCCGCAAAACGAAATCGAAACGAAACCGTCCCACGAAATCGCCAAAACGCCGTTGAGGTCCACCCGTGGGTAAAGGGCCACAGCTCCCCCAATTGTGGCTCGTCTGCCTCTCCCGAGCCCCTCCCCGACACGGGCCATGCTGCAGTGCCCGAGGGGAGGCCCCGAACGTGGCATCTCTGGGCTGGCTTCCGCTGCTCGTCTCGGTGCCTGGGCCGATCGCCGGACGATCGAACACGACAAACGCGGATCGAAGACTCGCCGGGCGAGAACGTCCGAGAACGACCGAGGGACCAGTCTGATCGAAAGACGACGGACCGACGGATCGACTGAACCGAAGGATCCGCTGAAATTGCCATCGATCCTGACGGCAACCGGCGGGAGGCGGCCGGCTCACGGGGGAACAACGACCTGGCATCGACGATGCTCACACCGCCGATGATGAATCAGCGATACGCACCCCGATCGGGGGGAGAACCCGCTTCCCTGGGCAGGCTGGGGCGTCCAGGTTCCGGTCGGCAGCAAATTTGCGATTAGGGGGTCGATGCCCCCCCCCCCCCCCGAGCTGTTTCTCCCCAACGACTTTCGAGTCGTAGCTCAGTGCGGCCGTTCGGGACGACCTGGGCACCTCAAAACGTCTCTCGGCGAGGCGCAGCTGCTGGAGAGCACCCCGAGGCTGGAGAACCGCGGAGAAACAGGCAGAAACGTCCGAGAACCGCAACAAAACGGCGGACACGTCGGGGGGAAGCGACCCCCTGTATCAGCACCCGCGTCGGCGCTCCTGAGGTTCCCGCTGACAGCCCGCTCTTCTGGTGTCGCAAGATTCTTTTGTTCGTGAGACGGGCCAGGATGGATCTACACCCCTTCCCCAGGGCCAGCTTTTCATGCCGAGTTGTTCCCAACATTCCTGCGTCGGGTTCTCGTTTTGAATAGAGCACTGCACGCGTCTCCTCCCGCCTCCCGCCTCCCTTCTCCTCTCTTCCCTTCTCCCTCTCTTCTCTCCTGCCTCTCACGTCCTCCTCTCCTGCTCTGCCTGCCAGACTGCCTCTTACCGAGACGTGCTACGTGACTCCACCATAATTATCCCTGGGGGGCTGCGATCTGCGAAACTGTTGCCACTTTCGAAAGCTGCTGGGGGGCCTAGCGGAGTGACTTCCTTCGCAAATCACAGCGGGACCTGGGCGTCGCTGGGGGGCTGTGAACTCCGGAACTGTCGCCACTTTCGAAGGCTGCTGGTGGGTCCATTGGAGTGGCGTCTTCAGCAGATCAGAGCGGGACCTCGCCGTCGCTAGAGGGCTGCGAACTGCGGAACCGTCCTTTTTCGAGGTGCTGGTGGGTCCAGCGAAGTGACGTTCTACGCAGATCAGGGCGGCACGTCGCCGTCGCTGGGGGGCTGCGAACTCCAGAACCGTCGCCACTTTCGAAGGCTGCTGGTGGGTCCATTGGAGTGGCGTCTTCAGCAGATCAGAGCGGGACCTCGCCGTCGCTAGGGGGCTGCGAACTGCGGAACCGTCCTTTTT